CACGTTGAGCTTGCCCGGCTTGTATTCGACGCGGAAGTTGTATTCCGCGAAGAAGGACAGCCACCTCGCCATCCTTTGGGAGAGGTGAGGCGAGTTAGTCGCCGTCCTCAAGGACGCGTGGTCTGTGTAGATCACAAAGGGCCTAGAGCCCAGAAGGTGAACACGGAACTTCACAAGGGCATATTTCATTGCCAGGAGCTCCTTGTCATGGACAGGGTAGTTCCGCTCGGCGGCTTTGAGCTGCCGGGACTGGAACGAGATGACTCGTTCCTGTCCAGCCGTGTCGTCCTGCAGCATTGCACACCCGATGGCGTAATCGGACGCATCGCAGACGATGCTAAACGGCTTCGTCTCGTCCGGCAGAGCCAGGACAGGGGCCTCTTGGAGACTGGCCTTGATGCTGTCAAAAGCATTCTGGTGCTCTTGTTCCCAGCGCCAGTCGACGTCCTTCTGAAGGAGGCTCGACAAGGGCTTAGCGAAGCCCGCGTACCCAGCGCTGTACTTGTGAAGGTAGTTGGCCAAGCCCAACCACTTTCGAAGATCCTTCTGGGATCGGGGCGTCGGCCATGCTGCTATGGCCTTGACCTTGTCTGGGTCAGCCCGAACGCCCACGTTGCTGACGAAGCAACCGAGAACTTTAATCTCTGGTGACGCGAAAACGCACTTTTCGATGTTGGCGTAGAGCTTGTTCGCTCGCATCACGTCCAACACTCGACGGAGGTGTCCTAGATGCACCTCCATGGCCGTCTTGCCTCCCTCGGCACGGCTATGGACGAATATGTCGTCGAAGTACGTCTGTACGAAGGTACGCAAAGGGCGGAACAATTGCGTCACCAGGCGATTGAACGTCGCCGGGGCGTTAGACAAGCCCTGCGGCATGACGAGCCACTCCCAAAGCATGCCGCTTGGAGTGCTTACCGCGGTGAGCGGGATGTCACTCTCTCGCATCAGGATTTGGTAGTATCCGTCTACCAAATCCAGCGCACTGTACAGTACGCTCCCGGCCATGTTTGTTCAACAACACATCCTTTCGTGAAGATCGGTGTTTGGGCCGGCACCGTTGCGTTGTTCAGCTTGTTATAAGCGTGAACCAGACGCCACTTTCCGTTCGGCTTCCGAACGCAGAAAGTCGGCGTCGAGTGCGGGGATTTCGATTCCCGCACCATGCCTGCCTTCGCTTTCGCGGCGAAGAAGGCATCAATGACCTCGCACTGTTCGCGCGGGAGAGGCCATTGCCTCGTGACACAATACTTTGTGCCGGGCACGAGATCAATCTCGTGCCGTACGCCTCGATCCGGTGGGAGTTGGGTCGGTGGGTGTTTGTTCACCACGTCCGCATACTCCGTCACCAAAGGATACACCGGATCCTTGGGGTTCTTGAGAATCTCAGAACCCAAGCGCGCCTGACGCTGCTTGTTCATGTCTTTCAGGACGTTCTCGTCCAAGACAGAGGAGGAGTTCAGCTCCTCCTGAGTGGTCTCAGGTCTCATGAGTACCATCTCAGCAATCTCTCCAGCCTTGAGGTTGGCCAGGAAAGACTCAGCCGTCATTTCCTCGAGGTTCAGTATCTCCGCAACCTCTGGCAACGGTTCCAAGTGGACACCAGATGCCTTGACGGGTAAACCTGTCTCGCCATCGAAGATGTGATAACACAGTTCCACCGGCCTTGTCGGAGGAGCCCGGGCCCTGGACTCCGAGTCGCTTGAAGCGACGTCGATCGGAACGAAGTTCGGATCCGACTTGAGGCGGCGGCGGTGTCTTTGCCGACGGCGTCTGTGACGGGGAGCTTTGCTGCCCACGTCTAGGGATGTACGCTACGACATCCGAGGCACTCGTGGCCTCGTGGGATACTGCTGTACCCACACAGGAAGCGTGTTCAACGCCTTCCTCTTCAGTTAAGGTCTGGGCGACCGCGTGTGGCACTGTGTTACCCACACAGGAAGCGTGTTCAACGCCTTCCTCTTCAGTTAAGGTCTGGGCGACCGCGTGTGGCACTGTGTTACCCACACAGGAAGCGTATCCGACGTCTTCCTCTTCAGTTAAGGTCTGGGCGACCGTGAGTGGAACTCTGTTACCCACTCTGAACACGCTGTTCTCAGTGTTCATGACAGCTGCAGCTGTCTGCGGAGCTAAGTTACCCGCCTGTGGACCTAAGTTACCCACTTGGCCGACGCCTCTTCTGGTGCGGCCACCATCAAAACATCCTGGGAGTCGTCATATACGTCGACGACTCCCAAGCATCTGCCGGATGCTTTGGTACCCTGGCAGCCCTCGCGGGCGCCCCGGGTCCTGACAGAGGTGGGAACATGACTCACCAATGCTCTGTCGGACTGCGCAGGGCGGGCTGGCACCGATTGCCTTGCCTCGCCAGTCGATCCAGGGCTCGTGCTTCTCAAGCCAGGGCATGCCCAGGATCATATCATATGGATCCATATCGAGAACAGTGAACTGTTCGAGGCTGTCAAAGTCTTCAAACTTGACAGCCAGATCCACTTGGACGTTGGGGACAGTGACGACCTTCCCGTCGGCCAGTCGCACTGACACCGTCCCGTTGCCCTTGCTTTCTCTCAAAGCTTCGGACAACTTGTTGCTGTTACGAGCAACCGTCTGGCGGCGTGCGAAATTCTTCGACGCCCCAGAGTCAATCAAGATTCTAAAGGGATGATCGTATCCCCGTACACATCCGTGTACTACGAGCAACCCGCCGCTGCTCTTCGCCGATTCGAGAGTGCGAAGACTCTCAGGGGCTAAGTCTCCGTGGTACGCGCCACTCGCGCACCTCATCACGAAGACTTAGTTCTTCCCCAGTAGGGCGCCCCGCCCCTACTGGTTCCCTGCGTTCCCATGTCCCCGGGATCCTGGATTCTGCCAGCGACCCTTGAGGACGGCTTGGGGAAGGACCGTCTGCGGAGTCTTTCCGCGGGACAGTCGCGCTTGAAATGGCCCATCTTTCCCACAGCGAGCAGCGGATGTCACGCTGTCGGCGACCGAGTCATGGACTGGTCCGCTGGGGCTTGTTCGACCGGGAGCCGACAAGGAGCTCCCAGGCCCTTCGCTGAGGCCGGCGTACGCGCCTGGCGATGGCTGTACTCTTCTTGAAGAGCCACTTGAATCGCCTCTTCAAGGGTGCTTGCCTGCACCCGGAACAGCTGAGTGCGTGCGGGGCCCACTCGAAGGCCGTCCATGAACACAGTCATCTTGATGTGTTCATTGAGTGGGTTTCCCACTAGGGACGCCGTGAGCTCCCGTATCTCTTGCACATACTCGTGCAGCTCGCGCCTTCCTTGTTTACACGCGAGAAAGCGCGAACGCTGGCGGTACTCGTAGTTCGCCGGGAGGAACGCGGCTCGGAGCTGTTCGCACAGCTGAGCCCAGGATGTGAAACATCCAGGGGATGTTGCTTCCCGAGTGTACACCCAACTCTTAGCACGACCGCTAAGGTTGGAGAATGCAAAAGCAACACGCAGTTGCTCGGTCGAGATCAGAGCCGCGTCCATCGCGAGCTCTACTTCTCGGACCCAGAAGTGAAGGTTCTCGCCTTCCTTCCCTTCATACGGCTTTACCTTCAGCCGTATTGGCTTCGGGTGAGGCGGATTTGCTTCCGCCGCCGGAGCCTGCAGGTTCTCCCGCACATGCGCGATGAGGCCCTGCTCGTACGCGTCGAATGCATTGACGCGCTCGAGCTGCTCAGCCGGTGTTGACACCACCAGGCTCTGCAGGGCCTCCATCCCGAAGATGCCTGCCATCTTCCGAACCGACTCGAACTGAGAGTCGTTCAAATGGGAGAAGTCGTTCCTATACATGGCAACGAACTTCGGAGGTTCAGGTAGTCTACCCGCGATGGCGTGGATTGACTACAAGTGCTACCAAGTGTGACGGGGTCACACAGCACTTTGCGCAAGAGGAAGTTATCTTCCGAGAGTATACAAATTCTCAGTGAACGGCAGTTCACAGGTCCCCTCTTTTATTAAAGAGAGCGAAGTGACCCAAATAAGGTAGATTGTAAACTGAGTATATTTATAGGTAGATTAAGTTTGGGTTTAATACAAACTGTTAGTTATCTATAGAAATGCAATGTGGTTGGCTTTGAACGACCTTGGTTCCTTGTACCAAATATCTCGTGTCATACTCCTGAAGTGTGAAGTGTCACACTTCATGTAACCAGGGTACACTTAGGGCTACGTACCCCGTTACAGCAGAGCAAAGTGACCGCCATCATCGTGTGGTGTGGTCGACACCATCAAGCGATATTCTTATTAGAGCAAGTATGATGATACTGGCCAGACCAACTGGAAAGCTAAGAAAATAACCTAGGATATTCCTTCTTACAATTTGTTGCTTTCGCATTTCAAATTGCCAGCTGATGTCAAATACATTTGTTTAATGGCCTGAGCTTAGACACCGGTAAGCTAGCGCTGAGGAATGACCCTGCAAGCGCTACGTAAGAAGCTTTTAGATCGATTGGATACCATAAGTTCTTCTGTTTACAGATGTTTGTAATTGCAGGAAAAAATATTCTCAGTGCAAACAAGAAAACATATCCCACAAAATATTGAGCGAAAGTAGTTTTCTCGCTTAAAAATTACACAAAAGAAACCAAAGTTTCCATAAAACTTGTCTTCTCTAAATCCATCTGTCCGGAAAACGCGGTCCCCTCCCACCCAGTCTCCATAATCGAAGTCAATCAGCCTAGACGATGAAGTCCAAGCAGCCCAAGTGGAAGAAATTCCACTGTCCGCCCCTGTCATCGTCGCGCAAGGAGCAGATCACACACGAGGCCAATCGCGCGTGCGACGAGCTGCTGCGTTTCTCGGCTGGCGAGGCCTTCAGCAGCAGCAGCAGCAGCACAAGCTCGAGTCTGGACAGCGACGAGGACCAGCTCCAGGACGGTCTCAAATGGGAGTACACTGAACAACTAGAGAGCATCCGCGTGGAGAAGGTCAAGGTCAAGTCCGAGACTAAAAAGAGCGTTTATTACTTCCGGGGTATCACTCAAGTGGAGGGCACTATTGAGGAGGTGATGGAGCTGTACCACGTCGACATGGCCCACCCGAATTTGCAGCTCGAGAAGAAATTATCCCCCGACATTCTACACTCGGTAGTGCTCTACGAGATCCTGCCCTACCGACCAGAGGAGAGCACAGTCCTCATCGGCATCCGCTGGTCAGCCGTACGCTCACCCTACGTCATGGTGCGCAACCGAGACTACTGCTATCTGGAGATCCAGCGCCGCTTTACGCTACCCGACGGCCGGCGAGGCTTCGCTCGCTGTCTACATTCGGTTAAAATTAAGAGCTGTCCTGATATGGAAAAGTCTCACGGCTTCGTGAGAGGCAGCATGTACCGCTCGGGCATCGTGTTCATCGAGAGCAAGCGGGACCGCAAGACACTGGACATTGTCCAGGCGGTGTATACAGATTTGAAAGGTAACGTACCGCAATGGGTGGCGGCCAAGGGACTGCGGCAGAGACTCATGAGTCTGGAACATCTCAAGAAATACGTCAACATGAAACGCGTGGCGAACCAGACATTCGCCCGTCGAAGCCAACTGATGGCACCGGGGAAGGTCAAGTCGTGCTTTGTGTGTGTGGACGACATCGGCACGTTTAAGAGGAGATACAACTGCCAGAAATGTGGAGAGGTACGGCGGAATGCGAGGAGAAGAGTGAAGGTGGCTGAAGGGACATTGGAGACCAGGACAGCTTCTTGTATTCAGCTACGCTTGCTGTTCCTGGCTCTCTTTCTCGTCGTGCTACTTGGCTTGAATGAATAGTAATTTAACGCTGGCTCTGTTGTTTGTGTCATTTTTAGGTCATTTGTGGCCGCTGTAAGCTAACTATCAACGCGGACATTCCAGTTGTGGGCAAGATGAAGCTGACGATATGCAGCCTCTGCTCACTGGCCATCAACCGGAGCGCGCTGCCCGACAACAACAACAACAACAACGACGACAGCGGAGGACTAGGACATCGACCGTTCTCGGCGACGCAGCAGCCGACGTATCAACACCGCGACTGTAACGACGAGGCGCCCATGCGCAAACGCGCGCTGAGTCTGAACTCGTTCCATACGGCCAACTTCGACCACACGTCACTGCAGAGTTCGGTCTTGGCTCGCGAGTTCTAAGCAAAGAATCCTGGCAAGCAGCAAGAGTTGAAGTCCTGAGGTGAAAATCCTGCATTCAATGAGTCCAGAACGCGTGTGCTCCCAGGTGTTCAGCACTCTGTGCCTTCAACTGTTCATCGAGATGTAAGAAAAGTGCTTTGCCGCAGTTTTGCGGGGGAGATGTCGAAATACACGTCAACCATGTACAAATAATTACAACAAAAATAATGTGTGGAAAGTAAAATGATTGAAAACAAGTGTCAGCTAGTGGCCACCTCACTCGGGTAGTGGGTAGTAAGGCATCGTACTCTTCCCTAGCACGAGCTGCTCCGGCATTCCGACGCTTAACCGCCACCAACGCCACCACAGCAACCAGAGCAGTGACGCCCATAAGCGCCACCACCATCGACGGCGTCGCTGCGTTCTTCCACTCGCCTTCGCCTCGCAGCGCCATAACCAGGAATTCACCCGTTGTAGCTGGCTCACAGCGCTCTACGCCATCCTCAGGGTTCGACTCGGTCAGTGCTGTACACGCCAACGTGGAGCTGCACTCCTTGCAACATTCACCCGACAGCGTCTTCTGCTTGGTCACATAGTTCTCGGTGGCAAACACACTACCGCCACACGCTTCGAACGGGCCCGGAGTCCCGGACGGCGACAAACACTCGCCAGCCTTGCACACCGCTTCAGTCCCGTAGGTCTCGATCTCCGCGTGGTCACAGTCCGTGATCGTGAACGAGTGGGAGCACGTATCTGTCTCCGTGGTAGACGCGTCGTAGTGCGTGAACGTGAAGGCGCACTCCACCTGAACGTCCGTATTCTCGACTGTCTCGGGGTCGTGCACGAGTTCTAGCGCGAGTTGCTTGGACACTTGGATGCGGCCGTTCTGGTCTGGAGCGAGCGTCAAGGGCACTTCGCCGTGCGTAACTCCGGCCAGTGAGCCCGACGCCGCCAGCTTCACATAACACTTGACGTCTGTGAGCTTGCCCTTCACTGTGTTGGCGTCGTGTGGCAGACCAGATTCGCTATCGTACGCGAACTGCATCAGTACAAAGTCGCTGCCAGGGTAAGCGCACATGTGCGAGTCCACCGTGCGTGGGTATGCAGTGAGCTCTGTCCACATGGCGTTGAATCCCACACACTTCGGACGTGAGCTGTGAGGGTGCAGGAACACCGAGAACGTATCGTGGAACACCTGGCCGCAATGCGTCCAAGCCTCCACAAACACGTCCGTCTGAGCCTCAGTGAAGGTCAATGTAGCCAGGTCATCCCATGAGTTCCAGGACTCCGTGCCGACCGAGTAACGCCAGTAAACAAAGTCGTCGACATTGTACGAGTCAGGCACCGACACGCCCCAGTGTGACGAATGCTTGAACAGCTCACCCAGCTTCGACGTGTACGAGCAGCCAGCGTTAAAGGACGAGCATGTGATGCTACGATGGATGTCCTTAACGCCAGGGGTGATTGGTGTGGGTAGTCCTGCAACAATCTTGGTCGTCTTGGCGTTGGCTTCCGTCGTGATGTCTGCAGTCGAAGTGACGAGAGTGCCACTCGACATCTGGAGGCAATGGCCGAACGAACACGAGTCCGAAGTGGCCGTCTTCTTCTCCGTATTAGCGGCCTCAGTGCTGCAGTCGTACGCGTAGTAGTACTCTCGCAGTGTTAGCGACTTGGAGCAGCAACGAGTGCACTGCAGCGTATTCATCTCTACATCCGACAGCAACAACGGACTCGTCTTGGGCGTAGCATCAAGCAAATCGGTGACGAAGTCGCTGTTGAAGCAGGTGGAGTCGACGGATCTCAGCGGGGACGGCGTTGTCTCGAAGAAGTCCTTTACTGAGGCCGAGCTATCATCGCACCGCTCATTGGCGCCAGTGACTGGGTCGTACGCACCGTTATTGACAACATTGTCAGGACTGTAGAAGGCCTTGAACTTGGCCTCTTCTGCGATGGCATCGTCAAGGGTGGAGGTTGAATACAGCACCTTCGTTCCTGGGTCGCTGCTGGTCTTGCACTGGTCCTTGGCAGTTGGGGGAAATTTATCAACGACAGCAATACAGCCCCTGCACGTGGCCTCGTAGTGGTAGTCCGTCGCGGTTAGTGCTAAGTCGAAGACGCCAAACGAGCTGAAAGTAACCTCGTTCTCGAGATTCTGTGGCGTGAGGGCGTAATCAATCCAAGGCGAATTGTGGGTCACACCGGTTGCGTCCCCCTCTCTGGTGGCGGTGATGGCAATTACTGGGTCGATCTTAGCCGCGTCGTTCTGGTTTTTACGTCCATCGTTCACGTAACTATCCTTGGGCACGGGTGCATCCACCTTACAGTCGTCCTTGAGCTTGAGAGAAGCTTTCTCTGGATCCGTCCACATACGACTCAAACCAACGTTGTTTGCCTTCCAGTAGCACGAAGGTACGCATACACCGTACTCGTCATGCTCACCGTATGGACACGAGCACTCGCCCCGAACCATCGACATTCCGGTTGGGCACTCACACTTCCCGTCGACGAACAATTGGTTACCGGCACATTGACATTTCCCGTCAACTAGAGATCGATCGCCGGTGCATTGGCATTTCCCTTCAATGAACGACAGCCCATCGGCACACTGGCATTTACCGTCAACGAGAGATTGATCGCCAGGGCACTGGCATTTGCCGTCAACGAAAGAATGGTCACCGGGACACTGGCACTTGTTGTCAACGAGCGATTGATCGCCAGCACATTGGCACTTGTTGTCCGCGAGGGACTGGTCGCCGGGACATTGGCACTTGTTGTCAACGAGCGATTGGTCACCGGGACATTGGCACTTGTCATCGACGAAGGATTGATCACCGGGACATCGGCATTTGCCGTCAACAAACAACTGGTCACCGGCACACCGGCACTTGCCGTCAACGAACACTTGATCGCCAGGGCACTGGCATTTGTCGCCTACGAGGGATTGGTCACCGGGGCACTGACATTTGCCGTCAACGAAGGATTGGTCGCCAGGGCATTGGCACTTGTTGCCAACGAGAGATTGGTCACCGGGACATTGGCATTTATCGTCAACTAGAGATTGGTCACCGGGGCATTGGCACTTGTTGTCAACGAGTGATTGGTCGCCGGGGCATTGGCACTTGTTGTCAACGAGAAATTGATCGCCAGCACATTGGCACTTGTTGTCCGCGAGGGACTGGTCGCCGGGACATTGGCACTTGTTGTCCACAAGAGATTGATCGCCAGGACATTGGCAATTGCCATCGACGAAGGATTGGTCACCAGGACATTGGCACTTGTTGTTGACCAGAGACTGAGTACCGGGACACTGGCACTTGCCATCAATAAAGGATTGGTCGCCGGCACATTGGCATTTGTTGTCAATGAACAACTGATTGCCGGCACAGCGGCACTTGCCATCAGCAAAGGATTGATCCCCGCTGCATTGGCATTTACCGTCAACAAACAACTGGTCTCCGGCACACTGGCACTTATTGTCAACGAGTGATTGATCGCCGGGACACTGGCACTTGTTGTCAACGAGCGATTGATCTCCGGCACACTGGCACTTATTGTTAACGAAATGCTGATCGCCGGGGCATTGACACTTGTTGTCAACGAGCGATTGGTCACCGGGACATTGGCACTTGTCATCGACGAAGGATTGATCACCGGGGCATCGGCATTTGCCGTCGACAAACAACTGGTCACCGGCACACCGGCACTTGCTGTCAACGAACACTTGATCGCCAGGACACCGGCACTTGTCGCCTACGAGGGACTGATCACCGGGGCACTGGCATTTTTTGTCAACGATAGATTGGTCACCGGGGCATTGGCATTTACCGTCAACGAGATATTGATCGCCAGGGCATTGGCAAGTGCCGTCGATAAAGGATTGATCACCCGGACATGCACACACACCTGGAGAAACTTCCTCCTTGCCACCTTCACAAATGCAAGAACCATACACAAATGACATTCCACTTGGACACTTGCACTGGCACTTGCCATGCTCACGACAGGAGGTTGAGCTCGTTGGTGTGGGGCAATCCACCAAATCTCGCACGGACTGCGAAATGGCCGAGTGAGCTTTAGCTGCTGAGGCCACCACAATGTCGGTCGGTAAGACACCGCAGTCCAGAGACGGGCAAACGCGGATGATCACTGCTCCTCGAACAGTAGCTTTCTTTTTCCCCATAACAATCTCAATTTGAGGAGGTCTCAGCAGCGGACTGGGTGTCGCGTACGGACTTTCATTGGTGGTTGAGCACGACACGGTCTTGAGTGTCTTGGACTTGAATTTGGCGTTGGAAACGGGCCAGTTGATGCTGTTGCGCACCTCTGCAATCTCCGTCGGACTAAAGCACTTCCCCATCGTGATGGTCAGTGCGAACGATTCCGGAACGGCACATTCGGCGCCGTCCGATAGAGCCAAGAGTGTGTCGGTCGTCCGCAGCGATGCCGAGTTTGTGCTGGTCAAGACGTTTTCTTGCTGGGCCAGCGCCGTAGTAGCAAATACGGCTGCCAGCGCGCTCAGCTGTGCGAGAGCACGCATGGCTTATAGTGACGAGTACGAGGTTGGACTTGTGGCGCGGTTGCGGCAGATTGTAAAGTGGAAGACGATCACGGCACCTCCACCACCGGAGCGCTCACTACCGGTACATGAGAATGCGTACGTTCGCGATCTTGACCATTAGGAGGAGGCGCGTCGCTTGCCAGGGAGGAAACCAATTAAGATACCGGGGTGGGGACTTGATGGCAGGCCTCATGAAGTGCAATCTTGCTTTGGCGAACGGCACGGGGCCAGGCCCGGAGAGGCGCATAGAGAAACGGCTGAACGCGGAATTCTGAGCGAATGAGGAAAATGGTACATTGTACCTTCTCCTAGGTATCGTTGCTGCTACTGTCTCGACGAGCAGGAAACGTTAGCACAAGCCTGCTGAGTAGCCGCCCAAAGTGAAAACACCGACTCTTCTTTCTCCTTTTAACTGATGAGCAGCAATTCCGATCAAGCGAATTATGGGTGGAAGGTCAAAATACGCAGGAAATCTATTTTGTACTCACCTCTGAAATAAATTTCAGATAATAATTATTAAAGAACATTAAATGTATATGTATTATTATTAAACAAATTTTGTTTTAATACCGGTAGCGAGCAAGTATTACGGTATAATCGTTTCCATAACTGTACGCTGCCGGAGAAACATAAAGTTGTAGAGCATTTTGGCTGGTAATTTAGCTCATGGCTGCCATAAATTCGGGAGAGTACAGTAGATCTTCCTAGGTGGCAAGCCACGACCACAGCTCCAGGTAAGGTCGGGGTTGCCTTCAGGTCTCGTTGTAAGGCACCGGTAGCCATCCAGTGGCCACTGGATAAATGGTGGTGGTTGCCAACGCACATCGGTGCAGACATCCTCTTCCCGGTGCTTCGTCTTGGCGCCAGTGACGCGGATAGCGTCAATTCTGCCACCATAATCCAGAGACAGACGAAGCGAAGCGAACGTCTCTGATTGGCTAGCAGCGTATCCAACTGAAGTAGATGTCAATACCTGTAGACAAAGAGAATTTACTTTGGGTGATAAGCAAATGCTTAGGGAGTATATTTCCCTAACTTATTTTAAGTTGAGTAAAGCTGCGTATTAAACACGATGTTATTCGTAAATTGATTTAACTTCTCTAACATTGATTGTTTTAGTGGCCATGTATACTACATGTACATGTATGCGAAGCTTCTCAATTTTCTCAGTAACATAGCGCTGGTCAACATCTCTGCTTGGGTTGGGTGGTCTTTTTTTTTCACGATGGCTTTCATACATGTACAGGTACTTGTTTTGTCAACCCCTCGAAAACGGCACGCTTACAAAACCCAAGTCAATACTTCGTACTACTTTAGCACTAACGGCTCGTACACGTTGTAGTAGTCACTCTCATTCCTCTTCCCGCTGCGTCCGCATCAAGCGTCTTCGTCGCTCAATCCCGCGTGGCCCCTTATTGGCTCCGATGCTGCAAGTCTCCCAGTTCCGAGCGCTGCGCCGCGCGTCGGCCACTGCGTCGTCTAGCCGCGCCAACGCCTTCCAATTGACGCTGGCCCGTGCGTTCGCCGCCCAGGGCGGCGACACGGGCGTCTCCCATGAGGATTTACAGCGTGCATTGGATAAATTCCAGAAGGAATCGGCCAGTAAGACTGTCCCTTGGTTTTTGAAGAACATGCCGCCTTCGTACTTTCGCTCCATCGAAGAGGACGATCGTCTACAGCATCTCAACGCCATCACGGCGCTGGTGAACGCGCAGCAGCCGGAAGTGATGCTTCGCTCTACCGACCACCGCGTGTTCTCGCACTTCCGTTCGGGCGCTAACTTCCCCGGTCGCTTAGCCAATGTCCTGGACCAATTGCCTCAAACCGTAGACGGCGCGACACTCGCCCGTGTTAAGATCTTCACGTCCCTGGACGACTCCCTAGGCCTCGACATCTTTCGTTTCGGTCAGCAAGAGCCTTTCCTTAATAAAACTGAGGACGAGCAACTCGCTCGTGCCAGTATCCAGCAATTCTGTGCCGGTATCCAGGCAGGCAAACATGTCGGCGACAGTAGCTACCCGAAACCGGGTCCGCACTTCGAACCGGAGGCCGTGGACACGTTCCTAAAGCACAGTAACACCATGTACGTGCAGTACAGCAACCCGCGTCGTCTAGCGTGGCAGATGGAGCTGTTCAGCCAAGTCCGTGGCACTGAAGGTGTCGCGGTGGACGTGGAGCACAAGTGGGAGACCCGTAGCGACGAGAACAAGCTCGGTGGCGGCGTCCCGCAGACGATGCTGACGATCGCCGCGTCGAACGTCATTCCGAAGGGTTTCATGCAGAAGGCGGCCACGTATCTAGGTCTGTGCAGCCTCAACGTGGTCCGCGCCCACTTGGACGTGGTCAAAGACCCTCAGAACGGCTCCGCACACGTCGCGATGATCCGCATCCTCGTGCAACCGAGTGAAGAAGCACAGAAGGACCATTTCCAGTTCGAATGGTCCAAAATCTCGGGTAACTTGAAGTATCTCAAGTGGGTGGACGACCACCCCGTCCACTTGACGCTGCAGCATCCGGAGTTGGGTCTATCACGCGCTGAGCTCATCTACGCGTACGGCAACATGCTGCACGGTGTGTTGGCCAAGAAAGACCCGTTCGCGTACTCCTTGACGCGCATCATGGAGACGCTGGAGCACCCGCAAAACTTGCCGTTAGCGTGGCGTATTGCTGACTTTTTCCTGACCAAATTCGACCCGCAACAGGAGCGCGTCATGACGGACGCTGAGCAGGACGCCGTGGTGGAAGAACTCAAGAAAGAAATCCGTCGGAACGTGGAGCATGAGGACGCCATCCTGCTGCTGAACAGTATGGCCGATGCAGTGCGTGGCACCCTCCGTACCAACAAGTTTGTGCGCGATCGCTACGCGTTGTCACTACGTATGGACCCGAAGGTTATGGGCTACGGGACAGTGGGCAAGGACACTCCGTTCGGCGTGTTCTTCATCTACGGACGTCGCTTCAAGGGCTTTCACGTGCGCTTCCGGGACATTGCTCGTGGTGGGCTACGTATGGTTTATCCTAGCTCTACCGACGCCCACGCGTTGGAGAGTGCGCGTCAGTACAACGAGGCGTACAACTTGGCGTTCGCTCAGCAGCTCAAGAACAAGGACATCCCTGAAGGAGGCTCCAAGGCTGTGGTGCTCTGTGACCCCATTGTGGGGCCTGTTGGCGACGTGGCTCCACGTGACTTTATCATTCGCAAGAGCGTCAAGGCCTTCTCGGACGCGCTATTGGATCTAAACACGACGGACGAGGAAGTGAAGGCCAAGATCGTCGACTATTACGGCAAAGACGAGCTCATTTATCTGGGTCCGGACGAGAATATCATCCCTGGAGACATCGTGTGGATGACCAAGCGTGCGGCGTACCGTGGCTACCCCATTCCGCGTGCCTTCATCAGCTCGAAACCGGACGCTGGCTTCAACCACAAGGTCTACGGCGTCACGAGTGAAGGTGTCGCTGTGTTTGCTGACGTCGCGCTACGCTCGCAGAATATCGACCCCAAGAACCAGCCGTTCACGGTCAAGATCACGGGCGGCACGGACGGCGACGTGGCTGGCAACGTCATCAAGATCCTGCACCGCGAATACGGCGACAACGTCCACATTGTGGGCATTTGTGACGGCACAGGAGTGATCGAAGACCCGCAAGGGCTGGACATGCCGGAGTTGCTGCGTCTGGTGCACGAATCGCTGCCGTTGTCGAGCTTTGACGAGTCCAAGGTGTCGTCCAAGGGCATCAAGCACGACATCAACACGCAGGAAGGGATCCGTGCGCGTAACTCGATGCACAACCGCGTCAAGAGCGACCTGTTCATCCCTGCGGGTGGCCGTCCCAACACCATCAACGAAAACAACTGGCGCGACTATCTCGACGCGGACGGCAAGCCGGCATCCGGTCTGATTGTTGAAGGCGCCAACCTGTTCATCACGCCCGAAGCGCGTCAGCTGCTGTTCGATAACGCGGGCGTTGTTATCGTCAAGGACAGCTCAGCTAACAAGTGCGGCGTCGTGTGCTCGTCGTACGAGATCGTGGCCAGTATGTTGCTCGAGACGGACGAGTTCCTGGCTGTCAAGGACGAGCTGGTTGTTGAAGTGGTCGACAAGCTTCGTGCTTTGGCTCGCGTGGAGGCTCAGCTGCTTTTCCGCGAGTACAAGAAAGACCCGACGTCAGCTTTGCCGCCTGCCAGTGAACGTATCAGTCGCGCGATCACGCGCGTGCACGACGCCGTGTTGGCGCATTTCGACGATGTGTGCGAGGAGGACCAGCAGATCCTGTTTACGCTGATCGAGGAGCATTTGCCGCCCAAGCTCCGTGAGCTGGCGCTGGACCGTGTGCAGCAGAATGTGCCGTTGGCTTACATCCGCTCGATCGTGGCCTCGAGTCTGGCCAGTAAGATCGTGTACCGTGAAGGTCTGCAGTTCACGGAGGCGCTCCCGGACTCGAATCTAGGCAACATGGCGTTGCAGTATCTCAAGCAGGAGAAGAAAGTGCAGCAACTGGTCAAAGACGTGCGTTCGTCGCAGTTGCCTCACAAGGGCGACATCGCCGACTTGTTGGCTCGTGGCGGCGTGCGTGCCGGCTTGGACACGCCAAACTAAATCGAGGTCGAGAGACTAGACGAATCTTTCTTGAAACACTGAACGATAAACACTAATCCGACTAAGTTTAGCGTCCAACGACGATCATTTTAAGCCCTCGATTGGGACGTAGAGAGGAGAGTGTAGCGACAGGATGGAGAACGGCCGAGTGGATGAGCTGGTAAAAGCTTTCTTGAGTGTTAATGACCGTGTGAAGTTCTATCTCGAGGCTACAGACCGTGGGGACACGGGGACATCGAAGCATTCGATGTGGATGACGCAGCTTTGTACGCCGACGAGTGCTGAGATCGAGGCTCTTGTCGGGGACGGAGAAATTGTTTACTCTTGTCCAACATTGGTCCGTCTTCTCTTCCGGGACGACACGTTCAAGGACGTCAGAGACTTTCACATCCGACTAGTTGACGCTCTGGAATCTCAGAGATCTCGACAGATTATCGATCAGTTGTTCGAACACCTCGACAAATTCTCAGCGGAAGACCGCGCGAGGGGTTTTCTTCTGCTTGCTTCCGAGGCGTCCAGCGAAGAATCTGGACGACAAGAATTGCTCGATCGAATCGTCGAGAGTTTTGATTCGTCTCCAAGAGATTTACGACCGCAACTTCTCCTCGCGGCGTCGACCATCGGGCATGAGCCCATGGTTACACTGCTACTTCGAGACATTGCAGCTGATACTCTCGCGCCAACCACAGATCCCGTTGACGCTGAATGCCTGATTGAAGCAGCAAGGAAGCAGCACTGCTCGGTTGTGGAGAAATTTGTATCCAGCGGGAGATTTTCTACTGGCGATGAAGCACACTGGGAAGCGGTAGAGCAGGCCTTAAAAGCCTCATGCGCGAACGGATCGGTAGCCATCACCAGAATTTTACTGCCGTCGCATTGCTTCAGCCTCTCCTCCCACTCTCAGCTCCTTCGAGTGGCATTAGCAAATAGGTATTTTGAGATCGTCCAGTTATTGCTTGAATGCGATCCGCGGGGCGCGTTGTGCAATATCAAGGAGCTTCTGGACAACTTACGAGAGGAAGTTGTAAAGGAGACTCTGGATGTAACAGAAGAGGCAGGAGCAGCGTCGAGTTTAGTATCAGTCGTTGTAGGGAAAGAGAGCGACGTAGTGATGTGGGATATGGCTGCATTGAAGCCTGGAGTGACATCGGGCGATACGACGCTGGCTCGCTTCCTGGTTAATCATGTTGACTTTAGTCGAGAAACTCTGGCTGCTGCTTTGGAGATAGCAGAAGAGCACGAACATCTCTCAATTGTCCAGATTATCACGACTAAACTGCAGAAAATGGCGGAACGCGAAGACGATGAGCTGGAGTCTACTGAGCCTCCGTCCGACATCATTGACCAAAACTGCCAGTCTTGCATCGCAGATAACAGTGAGAAGAACACAACGATTGATAAGCGTCTCGAATTGACAGATGTTGAAGATAAAGCTATTGTGCTCGAGACACCACCAAATGTGGAAGTGGGTAGTCTGGAAACGGTTCGAACAGCTAGCGCCGCGGCGGTAGAACACATGATATCGTCTGCAAGGCAGTCAATAGCCTTAAAGACAGTGAAAAGGGAGCAGAATGAGTTGGTACGCGTGTCATCAGGAGAGGAAGCTGAAATAATTTCAGGATTGGAGATGCAAAGTGGTTTCTTAGCGACATCAAGCCAATTGGATGATGCTCCGACCACAGAATTACGGCAGTTTTCTATCAAAGTTGCTGATAGAATTCTCCATGAAGGAAAGTTAGTAGTGAGTCAGCCGAATGTTGGGAATGGGGCTACTACGACTACTGCGGATGTCAACGATATGGCAGACTTTCAAGTAAATCTTAACGATTCAACGAGTGGGGGAAGCCAGAACGAACATTCAAGGCCAATTCCGAGTGCGAAGCAAGACGGTGCTTGCCTGGACAAGAATGCTGAGCTCGAGTTTGACTTGGAAGGAGTACATCATGAAAGTTTATCCAGTGTACATGATGCAGTCGACGCGAGAATTCCTCATCTTGTGTATCACAACGACACTTCGGCCGCCACCGAATCTGTTGTGACTGGGGATAGTTGCAGTCATTCTGATTCGATTGTTATTTGCTGAAAACGCATCAGAAAAGGATAGCGACGATATCCATGCGCTTGAATTGGAAGGTGGCGACTCAACCGAAGAACTGCTACCACCAGTGACGTCATTTTGCGACCTTCAGGTGGCTGTAGAAGAGGAGGACCTGGCAACTGAAGAACCCTCAGTAGCTGTACAAACTCCCGAAACAGGTACCCAAAGCAGAGATGAAGAGGACCCGTCAGTGAGCCCAACTGGATCTACAATTGTGAATTGGATGGAGCACCCGATGAGTGCTACTAGTGAAGTGATAGAAACTGCTATCCACCTTCATGAAGAAGATCGTATGGAAGTTCCCGGTAAAGAGCAATGCGTTGTCTTGGAAAGTGGCGAACTGACCCAACCAGTTCAACCTGCTCGAATTGATTCATACCACGATTTACAGACAAGTGTTGCAGAATTGCATGTAGTAGCATCTAAAGATCCGACATCTTCAAACGAATCTCCCTTGTCGAATGGAATCTATCGCACAGCTTGTGGAAATGATCTTTCGGGAAATGCGCTTTGCCAATTCGTTGACGAGGATACGCGTTGTCCAGTAGCAGCAGAGACCGCCTCACGGAACCATCTCGTTGTTCCGGATGACAGCGCAGTACTTGACCTCCGAAGGAGCATAGATACTGTTCATGATACCCAGAAGAGTTCGTTGGAAGCTGGGGTTCAATTCAGAAGGAGTCAAAGCGCTGAAACAAACTCTGGACAAGGTGAAACTCAGACCTGTCCTCACTCTTCCAACCGAAATCTTTCCTCATCCAGCTCAACGGATGATACGCTTACATCGCAGTTATCTCCAGGCAAGCGGGATCACACTGATCAAGTAGACATCGCGAATCTACCCGAAATTCCCAGCATAATTGTTGCTAGCACAGAGGTGGAACGGTTTTCTTTGGTTAGTAAAGTCTCCGGTGACGAGATTCGAGCTGCCAGTGGAACATCCCAGCGCAGGCCAAAAGGAAGAGAAGCGTCTGGCATCTCTCAACATTCTCGAACTCGAACTGCCAACACCAATTCTTCGGACGAAGTGGCAGAGTGGAAAAACATTGATTTGCTATTGAACCGCAAGCGCAGGTTCTTCCAGTCTCAAACAGGAAGCATTGAAAGCATCAAGGTGCCGTGGGGCGAAGAGTTCGCCACGATTCAGGCTCTGAAGCGATTCGCCACGATTCAGGCTCTGAAGCGATTCGCAGCCCAACATGCCCATGTTCTTCGCGCACACATGTATAGCTTCAACCATGCTCCATGAAAGGTCCAACGCTAACTTCCTTCTTGTTGACACCAGTGAGACGCAGTTAAGGGAGCTGGATGGGCCGCTTTTGGGCAACAGTCCGAGGAAGAAACGCTCGACGATAACGAACTCATTGGCTTACTCCAGTGTTGGTCAAGCACGGGAAGCTTTACTCTTGATGAAGGATTTGGCCTTTCTGCTTAAACAACGTCTTGCTCCTTTCTTTGGTACGTTCTAGAACGGACGGACAATCGATGCACAGGAACCGAAATGATAACGTTTTTTGTTGGTGTCTTGTACTGTAGACTCAATTATTCCAGTCGTGATGCCGTTCGTCTTCAACACTGAAAAGCGATTTCTATGCGAGACTGCGATCGAAGTGCTCGACGCAATGATTTTGCACTGCAGTGGGCAGAAGCTTGCTCTGTTGTTCCTACAATTAGGAGAAACATACAGCAAGTACGAAGACTTGCGGCTATACAACTTGGTATGCCATATACGAATCATTCCAAAGCCAGATCTCTGACCTTTTCCACTTTCTAGACTTCCGTCTACGTGGAGAAATGTGTTTTCCACTGGCACAAGCCCGAACTTGCTCGTCTTCAAACGTCGCAAACATCGGGATCTGTGCTCACTCTGATAGCTCGATCGTTGATATCAAAGTCCGCACCTGTCAGAATATCAGCTCAGAAGAGCTTAAGGCATCTACGTGACGAGCTTGGGGTGAGTTCTCTCGCTAATCTGCAGTTTGGAAGTGATTTCATCTTGTGTCTTTGTGTGACTTAGTCACGCAGCTTTGAGGCCATTCTTCGAGCACATGTATCGCAGGATGTGCAAGCGCTCGTGCGCAAGGAATGTGGCATTCACGCGGTCGGTTCCAAGGCAAGTGGAAGGAACAAAACAGCAAAACCAACAGAGTCGAGCAGCCCCAGTATCTTGCAGCGCATGCTCCAGCATCGACAGAACCGCGTGTTACCATCGCAGAATCGACTGGATAAACCTGATACTGCTTAACTTTTCTCCTGCCCAATGTTGACGTGCCAATGCAATGCTTACACAGTCAGCGGAAGGATTGCGTGGCTCATAATCTTTCATCGCGGGAACTTCGCTACGGTAGCTCATTTCTCAATTCGACTTCAAGCGAAAAGATCACCTCCAAACGATGTCTACAGCTCCAAGAACCGTCCACGCCTACGCCTGCTTCGCTGAAGGAGAAGCTGTCAAGCCGTGGACGTACCAGTCGCGTCCACTTGGCTCTGGAGATGTGGAGATCAAGATCTCTCATTGTGGAATCTGTGGCTCTGATGTCCACAGTCTCAGCGGTGGCTGGGGTGGCGTCATGTACCCGTGCGTCGTTGGTCACGAAATAGCCGGTCAAGTGACATTGGCTGGCTCTGATGTCAAGGATCTCAAGGTTGGCGACCGTGTAGGAGTGGGTGCAGAGGTGTGGGCGTGTCTTAACAGAGACCTTGCTCCGTGTGTACTAGCGGGGACGACGGCTACTGTCCTCAACGCGTGGGGACGTACAACTACACGTACAAGAACGACGGAGCCATTTCGTACGGTGGCTTCGTAGACTACGTGCGTGTGGCTCACATGTACGCCTTCAAGATCCCAGACAACATTCCGTCGGACGTCGCTGCGCCACTGTTGTGTGCCGGTACAACAGTGTTCACGCCGCTAAAAGAGGCCGGGATCAAGTCTGGAGACCGTGTGGGGATAGTGGGTATCGGTGGCTTAGGTCACCTTGCCATCCAGTTCGCGAAGGCATTGGGAGCTGCTTCAGTGGTGGCGTTCTCTCGCTCCAACAGTAAAGAGACTGAAGCTCGTCGTCTTGCGGCTGACGAGTTCGTCAACTATTCAGACGAGAAACAGGCCGCAGCTGCTGCAAACTCCGTCAACATCTTGTTAATTACAGCCGACGCGAACAACATGCCGTACAGCCCCTTCCTGAGCTTTCTGGCTGTGCGTGGCACGTGTATCATGGTGGGTCTGCCGGACGATGAGATCAGGTTCAACGCCTTCCCTGTGGTGGCTAAAGGCGCCAAGTTCGTTGGCAGCAACATCGGTAGCATCCAGAACATCAAGGAAATGCTCGAGGTGGCGTCCAACAAGAACGTACGTCCAGTAATCCAGAAGCTGCCGATGAGTCAGGTCAATGAAGGTCTCCAGATGATGCGTGACGGCACCGTCCGCTACCGCATCGTTCTGGAGAGCTAGAGCTACTAAAAGCAAACACAAAAACGCCGTGCAAACATGTAAATCCAGTGCTTACCGTGAGTTATCCTCCTGATTAAACGGCTCTTTCCTTCAGCCACTTGGCCAGCGTTTCACGGTCGCGACAGTACGCGGCGCTCTTGAGACGTACTCCTTCTAGAGCCACCTCGAGACGACGCTTGTATCCGGACGTTTCCTTGTCCGCCAAGAAGGCCTCGACCTCCACAGCCATGGCTTCGCTTTGGAAGCGAGACACCACACCGCACACGATGTAGCCTAGCGTCATAGCCGAGTACTTCTTAGACAGTACGTCCCACTTGTCTTGCACGTACTGCCATGCAACCTGAACGCCCACTTTGTCGCTGGCCACACTGATAAACGGAGAGTGAATATCCTGCGAGCGCACATTGTCCACCGCCCAGTCCAAGACTTGGAGCTTAGCGACTGTACTCGAGACAGAGCCCATAGCACTCAGGCAGTCGTTTCGTTCCTCAGCAAAGTCGCTCTTATTGTACAGCTCCTGCAGCAGCTTCGCATTAGCCGCTTCTCCATGCGTCACCTCGATGTCGAACACGGAGCCACGTAGGTCACCGGTAAGAGCCGTTGCATCGCCAGCGATGTACTCGTGGAAGCGCGTCTTGACTTCTTTGATGACGTCCTGGTCATTAGCCAGACCCAAGCGGTAGATTACCGTCTTACGGAACTCTCCTTCGTCGGCATCCGCTTGCTTGGACGCGTCAGTATCCCACCCCAACCGCTTCATCACATGCGCAAACAGTGTACGGATGTAGCGCTGGAGCTCCGGGTAGAAGGGCTCATCACGGAACAGGTTCGAGTAATAGCCCATGTTACGCGAGATCTCCTTCCAGCACAAAGAAGCGGACTCGTCGACATACGCATTCGTAAAGTCCAAAGCTACCGAAAGGTCCAACACACCGGCTCGAGCAAATGCGAACACGGAGCTTAGGAGACTAACACGGTCGGGAACCCCAAGAAGCTGCTCCGTCACAGGGATCTCCAGACGTTTCCATAGAGCAGGAGAGTAGTTGACGAGATAGAAACCTGCTTGGTTCGGGTTCAGCTTGATCCAGCTCTTAGGTCCTGTCGGCACTTGAATCTGCTTGTTGATCTCGTCATCAGCTGTATAGGGCGTCGTGGGTGTCGATTGCTTAGGTTTCGGGCTCCAGATGCCAAGACGCTTGATAGAGCTGGGGTCCTCCGACGTGCAGTACGTCAGCGGGATGTCCCACAACGTGTTGTCGCCAGCGTTAAGACTCGAATCAGAGAAGAAACGCTCCTGGACGAGAACGCACTTGCCGTCTGCGTCCTGTTTAACCGTCAGTAAAGGGAAACCCACTTGCTTGGTCCACGTGTCCGCCATGGCCTTCAACTTCTGTCCAGAGACCTTTTCCAGCGCCTCCCACAAGTCCTCCGTCACTGTGTTCTTATAACTAAACTTCACCAGATAGTCATGTACACCACGGTAGAAAGCGTCACGACCGAGATACTCCGACAGCATGCGCACCATACTGGAGCCCTTATGGTACGAAATGGCATCAAAGATCTCGTCAGCTTCATCAGGATGATGCACAACCACCTCAATCGGGTGAGAAGACACCATAGCGTCCTTGACGAACGCAGAGCCCAGCATAATATCCTGGACGAACGTCTCCCAGAGCTTCCACTCTGGGAAAATGTAATGGGCTGCATCAAACTCCATGAACTGCGCAAAGCCCTCGTTCAGCCACAGTCCCGTCCACCATTCCATCGTCACTAAGTTGCCGAACCATTGGTGGGATAGTTCGTGGCAGATAGCACGTGCCGCATCAGCCTTAATCTCGTGACTGCTGAGCTTCTGGTCCACCAACAAGAACGTCTCCGTATACGTCACCAGCCCCCAATTCTCCATAGCCCCCAGGAAGTCAGGGATCGCCACCATATCCAGTTTCTTGAGAGGATACGAGATCCCAAAGCTGTCCGAGAAGAACGACAGCGCCTTGGTCGCCACATCCAGCGCGAATCGGCCACGCGCGCTCTGCCCTGGCGCCGTGTACACGTTGACCACGACGCCTTCCTTGGTTAAGTCTGAGATCACATCAAACTCCCCCACCACCATCGCCACGAGGTACGTCGACATCACCGGCGACTCTGCGAACCTCCAGAGCTTCTCCATCGCTCCACCCACTTCTGGCCGCGTCTTCTTGCGGATATGCGCGTTCTTTTTGGGTCTCACGAGCGTCTCTACGACGTGGGCGTTGGACAGAGCCACGAGGTCGGTCTCGGTGACCATGGACATCTTGAATGTGGCCTTCAAAGCTGGTTCGTCCCAGCACACAAAGGCTCGACGAGCGTCGCAAGCTTCGAACTGCGTGACAGCGAGCACACGCTTCTCCTCTTGGTGCATGTACTCGGTACGGTAGAATCCACGCAGCTGGTCGTTCAGGAAGCCGTGAAACTGGAGCTTGAGCGTCACAGTTGAGCCGGGCGTCAGCGGCTCGGCGAAGTGGAAGGAGACCGAGTCGTCCTTGCTCTGGTACGTGATCTGCTGCGCCTCCTGCGTCTTCCCAGAGGCTGCGTCCTCTACGGATACGTCGAAGACGTAGAGTTCGACGGCGTGGCAGGTGATGACGGACGTTTCTTCATCCACACGCAGCACGACGCGCTCGGAGCCTTCGAAACGGAAGTTAAGGAGGTCGATGAGCTCATAATCCACGTGATACTGGGGCAACGAAGACGAGAGACGTGTGAGTGGAAGCGCAACAAGCAGAGGAAGCGAATGGCATGCAGGACGCTCACCTTCTCCGGCACCACACACGTCGGCAGGCGCTTGAACACCTCGGTCTCGTCGGACATGACTCGGGAGTGATGGTCACGTGCGCACTTGGCAGAAGATCTGATTGTGAAATTCGGCGACAGTTTGCGCATGTAGATGCGTCCTGTCTATGGTCATCCAGACTGTCGACGAATGCCATATTCTGGGTACCGTTGGACTGGATGCCACAAATAAAGTTTGGGATTGATGGTCCTCTGAAAGAATTGGATCAGCTTAGTGAGAGTGAGAACTCCTAGAGAATACCAAGAAAACGAAGGGTTCGTTAAGGCGTCGAGCCCTGTGATGTGCACGCGGTTGCCGACCTGAACACGTACCGATTCGATGCGGGCATGCTTTGCCGATCCAGGAAATCAGCAATGCTGGTCCAGCATGGACGTAGTCAACGGACCTCTGGACCGACCACTGTACACTTTAAATATATAATGCCATGTGCAAAATGAAGCTGTAAACGACTTAGTCTTTCGTTTTTCGCTTCATAGAAGCAGCTTTTGCTACCCAATGGCCCACCTGAAGTCGTCAACAACTGAGCGAGAAAAAATAAATTGTTATTATATTCGGATAACAGGGGTATGAGAGGTGACAAGAAAGACAAAATGAATGCTGGCAACTGAATATCTAGCAACCGAATCTATTGCTCATCATCACCGGCCCGGATCTGGTCGCGATGCTTTTTGTAAGAGCGTGTTGAACATAATGTTCAGGCAGTAATTATAATGAACACAAAGCACGACATCGATAGATGCTTTGATGCTGTTATCAATCAACACCCTTTTGCGCAAGACCCCTCTTCACGACATACACGTTGACTTCTCTCTTGTTGGCAAGCTCCTCTAAAAGGCCCGCAGTTGTGTCAAAACACAGTCCTGAACAAGATGCACGGATTAGTCCCAGAACGCCGCCTCTCGATCTATTCGATTCGTCGCGTTCCGTCTTCCTCAAGTGCCTTGATCAGCGAAAGCAGCAGTCCATTCGTCGGAGTGGGAACTCCGTGCCGCTTGCCACCTGCAACAATGCGGCCAGTGATAGCGTCGATCTCAGTTCTATTCAGACGAAGAAAGAAACGAGACCATGAGCTCACTGCACTACACACCACTAACCCACCGAGAGCCTACTTTGAACCGCGACGCAGATCTGCCAGCATGGAGCACACGTTGTTTCCCGTGTTGCGAGCCACTTCAAGGATATCATCCACAAGTTCCTGCGCACGAACAAAAATCGGTCAGAAATCTACACGTACTTAGTCATTCCACACAATTCGTACGCTTTGGGAGCAATTCACGGGAATCTGCTCGCTTTTCGCAACGGCGAGAGCCTCCTGCACCACCATCTGCACACAATGCCGACTGCCTTCGCTAGAAGCGACACTCTAAACAAGCACAAGCCACCGTCAAAATGGAGCACATGCCACAAGGACGAATTTTATAAAAACACTCCAGAACTTGCCTTGTTAGGAGCATCCAACAGAGACGCGAGAGGATTGATGGCTGCATTCACAATCAATTTACGCCAAAGCATTGCTTGCATTTTGTTACGCTCCAACACCTCGCAGCGTAAACCTTCAAAAGTAATCACCCCTTCTTCAGTATTTAAATAGCTCTTTCCACTTTCGAGTTCAAAGTTCCATACCTGTAGCAAGTAAAAGCTGCGCTAACATATTCATCTTGACATGGTGTTCTTTTCGCATTCGTAATTCCCTTTCAGACCCACCAAACGGAGCGAGGTACGTCATCCCCACGTCCAATCCGCTTGCCACTACATTTCCGAATTCCGTCACTCGCCCACCGACAAATGTCACTCCATTCGCAAACTGCCATCGATCTTCCACTCCAGTCGACCCACTTGTCGTCTCTTCCGGCACTTCACCCAGTCCGTTCTGGAGCAGTACACACAGTGCGTCGTCCTTCAACAAGTGCTTGTTCTTGTCCCTAAGCTCTCGAATCACCCCCACATTGTCATACGCTTTCACTGCCACTAATAATACATCCAGTTTGTCGTCACAACCATCTTTTCCTTCGCTGTCCAGTGTGCGAACTCGAACGTTGGGGGTATCCAACAACACCGCCATCTTCTTGCTCGAGCTCAATCGAAACTCCAGAATCTCCTCATTTGGCCCTTGAAGACAAAGTTGGAGCTTCTCCTTTGACACCCAATTATCAAATCGCTCGGGTTTTAAGAACGCGTCCAAAGTTAGTGTCGGCAACTCTCTATCCGCCTTGGAGCTGGTCGCCAAACGGCCCAGTCGAGTGAAAAAGATGGTCCCGATCGCTCCCAGTCCCAGCACACCCAGGCGTAATTTACTGGAGCAGATAGCATCGGCTGCTTCTGTTGACTTTTGTAGACGTGGTGCTGAGTAGATCGAGCGTCCTGGAGATCGGTACGCGTTGGAATTCCTGGTGGCGGAAACGCAGCTTATCCGCAGCATTTTGCGAATCCAAAATCGTCCGATTTTACAATAATTAGCTTTTTTAGGAAATGGGATCAACATTTTGATACGTTCCAGATTTGTGACTTCGGTCTAGTTTTACGCAAATGCCGGTACTCGCGCCGTGCAAGACTTACGCGCTCTCTGTTGAAGCAAAAAGTGCCTCATGAAGATTGATACACAACAATTATAGCTCATTTACAGTTTAACACAGCAACCGACGCGTCGTTTCATTCGAACGGAGCTCTCAAGTGTCAATAATGCCTCGTCGGGCTTTAACGATCGCATCGTCGGCTTCGTCGGCCTTGATGGTTGAGGATGAGGTCATCCGATGGCTGAGTGGTCAAATAGATGAAGCAATTGGGTCTGTGCCATTGTACGAAGACCCGGACTTCGTTGCCGAGGTCTCGAGTTTGTACTTCGACCCCAACAAACTTCCAGACTACGTCCCTCAGCACAGTCGCGAGTCTTCTGGTCACGTTTTCTGGTACCGACCAACGGAATTTGCAGCGGATCCCGACTACTTCAAGAGCTCTGCTGGATGTGGCGATCTCCGCGAAGGTTTGCTCAATGATGCGTGGCTTATTGGCGTGTTTGCCGCTGTAGCTCTACATCCGGACAACCTCATCGAAAACCTCTTCGTGTCCGAGTCGCTACAAAATTTCAAACAATTCGGAGTCTTCACCTGTCGATTCTTTAAAGACGACAACTGGCTTCCCGTGACAACAGACACTCGGATCCCGTACTCGATGGAACTCCAGTCAGAAGATAAAGTTTCTAATGGAGGTGGTTCAACCTTCTCTCCAGGGTCTGCTCTATACGGTAGTAGTGTCAACAGGAATGAAGTGTTTGTTCTGTTCCTTGAGAAAGCATATGCGAAGTTGCATGGCAGCTACCAGATTCTGGACGAGAAATACGGTGGTGGGATTGGAGGAAGTGCCGGTACGAGTAGTGGACGGATCCTGGAGGCATTTCTGGACTGTACGGGCGGAAGTGCACATCGAGTAGATCTGCAACATGAGCGAGTCAAGCAACTTCAGTTCGACCAAGCCACAGCTGGGAATCCTGCGTCAAGTCCGTCGATGCTCCTGTGGAAGCAACTGTTACGTTACAAGAAAAAGAAGTGCATCCTAACGACCCAGTTACGACAACTCTCATTCAACGCGCAGGACGTAACTGCAATGGGTATCGTTAAGAACCGTCAGTATGTCATTCTACATGTGACCGAAGTGGGGCTCCCATCGGGACAAGGGGGTCCAAATGCCTCTCGAGAAGAGGTGCTGCGCTTCGTGAAACTCAAAACTGTATGGGGTCGAGGCATGTGGAAAGGAGAATGGGCCAATGACGACAGCAAGTGGGAGGAACATACGCAGGTGGAGCAGGCCATGCACTCTGATCCCCGTTGCGAGTTCTCGCGCTCAGGACACGACGGTTGCTTCTGGATGGTGTGGGAGGATCTGCTGGACACGTTCACAGAGCTTTTTGTAGTGCACGTTTTCCAGCCAGACGACCGTCAATACAGTGTACGTGGCGACTGGGTGGGCACCACCGCTGCAGGGGCTCCTGTAAAGGTGCCACTTCCAGCTCCAGTAGTGCCAGGAGATGGTAACCATGCCTCTTCCGGCCATTCCACTCGCTCAAAGGAGACATTAATTGACAAAACTCGGTGGGGTTGGCTACACGACGCAGACCCGAATTGGCACCGCAACCCGCAGTTTAAGCTCACGGTGCCGCATGAAAGTCTCAGCACTGGCAAAGGAGACACAGCAGTCGGCAAGTCGGTGAACGGTGTATTGCTATCGCTCACACAGCGAGACTTTCGACTGTACGGTGGAGACAACTACGCGATCAACTTCGTGTTGCTACGTGAGAAATTGACACTTGCCACTGCAGCGTCGAACGATCCCCCTCCTGCTATCTGGGAGTTCAAACGCAGTCACGTCGTGGCCGAAGCGCACTCGTACGAAACCTCGTCGGCTATCGACTGGTCGTCTGCAGCTCCAGCAACGCCAGCTACACCGTCGATATCTCATCCCGCGACGCCGATGGCAGGTGTCGTTTCCAATGCTGCTGCTGGACTGGGAACTGCTAGCGGACAACCCAAGTCCCTTCCAGAGCGTGAGTTAGTCAAGGAAGGCGTCACAATTTCCCCTGGATCCGCGTATTATCTCATCCCATACACGACGAATCCCAAGGTCGAGATGGAGTTTTTCCTGCGTGTCGTGGCGCCCCAACCGGTGCGCGTAGAACGCGTTCCTCCTATCATGTCAGTGATTCGTACAGGACGTTGGAGGGCTGACGATGGAACTGCGAATAGTGATACCAACACTTCGAATGGAGGTACCAGTAGTACCGGTGAAATGGCCAATGCTGGCGGCCCTTTGTTGACGTTGCCATTGTCAGCGTCTCACGTAGTTGGCAAGGAGAACCCGGCGTGGTGTCAGAATCCGCAGTTTTGGGTCCGGTTTGCAGAGAGATCCCCGCGTGAACTACGTCGACTACGCAAGTTGTTATCAACCAAAGCTCACGTGACAATCAAAGTTGTACTTCGCAAGACTTCTCATCGAGCTTCACTTGGCACCAAGAGCCGACAACAGCGTGAAGCGGCTAAGGATCGAGCCAACCTGGTCGGAATCACAGCCGTACGAGCAACACCCACAGCTTGTACCCCTTCTGTAGCTGTCGGAGGGTCGGGGAGCTCAGCAGCGTCACAACTGCGAGCTCATGCCAAGGGACAAAAGACTAATTTCCTCGGAGAAATTGTCGACTCGCCTTTCACAAAGGCGGTGACAGTCAGTGACAACCTGATTCAAGGGACCAAGCTTCGTAATAACCAAAGAGAGAAGACGGTTGCCGATGAATTAGACGACGACCTGGAAGCTCCCGAACAAGCGGAGCCTGGAGCGGTCTCGGGTAATATCCCGACGCCCAAGCTGGTCGTCAAACCGACGGAGTGGTGTCGATTGTCTTCGTATGCCAGTCCAGCTTCAGCGTGTCTGTTCCTCCGGAAAGTTCCGAAAGAATGGCTTCTTGCCTCCGACTCCCCAAGCTCCGTAAACTCCAGTGGTGGAGGTGGCCTACTACTCGTTCCGACACTCGGCGAGGCTGGAGCTGAGGGCTCATTCGAACTGCAGGTTGACTGCGATTTCCCTCTGCTCGTCGACGAGTTGCCTAAAGGTGCAGGTGCTGTTCAAAGTATGCCTGGCGAGTGGACAAGTGCAAAGTCGGGAGGTTGCCACCTTCATCCTGATTGGAGGCAGAATCCAAAGTTTTATCTGCAGATTCAAGGCGTCAGGCCAACGAAAGTTCGCATCACACTCACACGCTCCGAGCGCGAGTGGAAGTCTCGCTGTCAGCGAGATTCGGTCGGAACGATGATTGGGTTTTATCTGCTCCGAGGTGGATCTAGCAAGCTCGTGCGTCCTGCAGAGGAAGGAGGCGCCAACTCGAACCCCATCGTGATCAATGGCCGACCATGGAGCGAGACGGACTTTGTGCCTCTGCACGCGGTCAGTTCACCTCCTGACCTTGTTCTCTCTGCGGCAGCGAAAGGTGGATTCGTCATTGTTCCTACAACATACGAGCCTGGGAGATTGGGTAAGTTTGTGCTCTCAGTGCAGTGTGACACAGAGTTCACGCTCACTTGTGACGCTGAGTAGTAAATAATAGCTCCGAAGCAAACAAATAAAACTTTTAAAGTTACAATATTATTAGAGCCATGTTTTATTTTCTCGCCGGAAACATCACGTTTGAAACTGGTTTTGTCTAGGGCAGAAGCCCCCGTTGTTCTTGGCACCGAAGCCCATATCGATGTGATCCCACCACTGCTTTTGCACGCCAGGAAAGTTGCAGTTGTTTCGATTTTCGCTGTCCATCGGAGAGGCCAAGGACTGTTGGTCGCTACCTTCATCGTCGGTTTCATTTGTTGCAATACTCATTGCCGAGTTGCATTTGTTCAGTGTTGCCGTTATAGGATTCATCATCTCAACACAGTCGAGAAATAAATCAGCCGAGTTGCTGCGTTCACGTCCAGGAGTGCCCTGTCGTTTCAGAACCTCCACTCTCGACTTGTTCATCCACCGCGTCTTGTCGATCTCCGATGCAGGGATCGTATCTACTGCACTCGACATGCTCCCACAGCTACTGCCTGACGATAAAAATTCGTTGCCCGTTAATTGCAGTCCGGGGAGACCCATCCACGCCGATTGGTGGTTTTGTAACGTTGGTCGTTTGTGCGGCACATTTGCGTTCAGTGTCACCGTGCTCGTAAACTGAGGAGTGAAAAACGACGGCAAAGCGCTATTCTCTGTGGGAAAAAGAGCCTTTGGCGATGGTAGTGTCATGGGCATCGGCAAGGGCATTGCCATTGACACGGCCACAGACGAAGTGGATTTATGTGATAATCGCAATGGTGACAGCAACGTCGGAATACCCGATCCGAAGCATCCGGCTCCCAGTGGCGAGCTTACTAACAGCGGGGACGGCAAAGCTAATGCAGCGGAAGCTGCTATTGCCCCGTTCCAAATTGAAGTTGCCTCTGTTGCCAGCTGGCCCTGGTGTTGCTTGGGCATTGCCATTGTTGTCGCCATGATCATTTGCTCCGAGGTTATCATTTCCATTCGGTTTTGATACTGATTCACCTTCTCTTGTAGCTTTGCCGCTTGGCGACAGCGACGGCGATACGTCGAGTACCAGTGATTCTTGATGGCATTGTCGGTCCGACCAGGTAGCAGCTTAGCGATCTCAGCCCAGCGATTGCCCATTCGCTCTTGTGCCGCCAGGATGAGCTGCGTCTCGTCCGCGCGCCAAGGGGCCTTGTCGATGTTGGGGTCCAGGTAGTTAAGCCAGCGTGTGCGGCACTGCTTGGGGGTACGACCGGGTAGCAGCGAGGCAATCTTCGCCCAGCGCTTAGTGCCACATTCGTGCACGAAGCGTAGGATAACGGCATCGTCTTCGGGTGTCCACGGGCGACGCTTATCTTGCACACCGTCGTTGCTGGTGATACTAACGATTGACGAGTCCGACGACGACAAAATTATGGAGTCTACAGCGGTCATGGGCATGGCCGAGATCTGCATTGTTTGTACGGGAAGGTGGTAGTTTAGTTTCCGTTGCACTGTCGCATCGGGGGTTGGAAAATGCGGGGCTAAGCACGTCGACGCGGGTGGTCGGCGGTTAGTTGGTTTTTGAAGTCGCTGCAAAAGTGCGGCAAATGTTGAAACGGACAGCGGTGCACCATTGGTTGAAAAGCGCGGCCGCACAAAACAGTCGCGGGTGAGGAAAAAGAGCCATACGACCTTTCACGAAAAAAGAAGGAAAAAGAGAGATGCGCAATCTCGACATGGCGGGGAGCTCTAGTCTCTGTTGCAGAGACTTTGCCAAGAAGGGCCTGCAAGTTGCAAGCTGCAACCAGTCTGGTTAGATCCTGGTATTTCATGTACCGTCCTGCTTACCGGTACTCGGGTAGCGTACGATACAGCCGGTGTTTGCAATGTTGGAAATGCTGGGCCCGTCGCAAGTGTATGGTGGATCGGTGGAGTGGCGATGACGTCAGGTGTCCGTTGAAACCCCGGAAGAACAGCGTCGAGACCTCCATTCGCACTCCAAAAGTTTTGCGCTCAACATGGCATTCGAGGAGGGATGATAGCGGTGTGAAGTCGACCACTAGCATCCCATGAACAGCTGAAGCGCGACACCGTTCTAGTTTTGATGATGATGCTGATTTCCACACCTGAGGCCTTTACATAACGTGCGTCCGTTTCATTGAGCATTCGCCCTGGCGCTTGCTTGAAGCAAATCAGGAGGTAACGGGATCGACTTGATTTCATTACGGTATCCTTGCCAACGGCGTTGTCCATTGTGAATCTTTGAGTCAAAGTTTGACAGTGCACTGCACTGTGCAGAACCGTGGCTTTTAACCGGCACTCACCGCTTGCACTCTTGTTATCCTTCGAGCGCGATCTCTCATGTTGCCCCGAAAGCAGATTGCCGAATGCATGGGTGGGTGCCTGAGAACTTCTTGCTGCATGCAGGTAAAGGTTTAGTGCCCTGAGCTCGAAGAATGGGCTATGGCGTGCGTTAAACGGTAAAACGGCCAGTGGTCTTGCTAACCGCAGTTACTGTATTTAATAGATGCAATTCGCTTTCGACGAATTAGTCTTGAATTGACATTCAAGAAATCGACAATAGCACGTCGACCACCGTGCTCAATTCATAATTCGTCCAAAAAGAACTTCACGATGTGAGTTTCAGGACAGGGTTTGGTGCAGGGATCACTACACTTCGACATATCGTCGAGTTTGTGTCGATCCGCTGATCAGATCGGGTATTACCGGTATGCTGGGCTCGTATCCTTATTAATAGCGTCATCGTAGAACTGCAGCCGAGGCAAACCCAGTGCGAATATCATCGTCATTATACTGTAGAACCTTACCGTGAATTTTATTTTGCAGTGCGTTGTGATTGTCAGGAGCTCATATTTGGCTCATTTTAGCGAAGTAAGCGTACCCATCCGCATTTCACCCAATCAAAATCTAGTATTCTAGCAAATTTCTGCTCTCAAGAATCCACATTTCCCCCGTTTTCGACGCAACACAAAGCAGGACAGCAAAGCATCAATAATGTCGACCCTCACCAGTACAGACATGGGCGAGCTCAAGCGCCCCACCACGCGCGTGCACGCGCCTCCAGGGGGTGGTTCCAGCTGGAGCTTCGGTGATGATTCGACACCCGCGACTACGGGCCGCAAGCACGTCAACCAGCCGCAAAATCTTTCCCAGCAGGATGCCAAAATGGAGTCTCCGCGTGCATCGCCACCTCCGGCGCCCGTGCAGGCTCAGAACCGAAGTCAAACGCAAGTTACTTCCCCTAACGCCGATGCAGTGGTGCGCGTGGCGCTACTCAAGACCAGCAGTGACGCCGAGCTCGTGGACGCGGCAGTGCAAAACTGTCAGACCAAGCTGCCTGATATTGTGAACTACGAGATCTTCACGGTCGCAAACATTGAGCAACTGCCCTACGCTGCCAATAAACTAACCGAATTTGGCGGCTTCGACAGCGTCATTTGCTTCGGTTTCCTGAGCACGCAAGACCCTCAATTTGCGGCGCTCAGTGCTGCGTTGACGCAAAGCCTCATCAAGATCAGCGTCAAGAACGTGCGCCCAGTAGTGCAAGCTGTGTTCATCGGAGAGCCTCGTGTGGCCTCCGTGAAGGTCAGGGGCGGCTGGGGTGCCGAGTTTGCGGACGGAGTCGTGTCTTTGATCAACTTGGGCGGGTTTGTCGGGCCCATATCGCACCGGGCGTCTGGATCTCCCGTAAAGAAACACTTCGAGGTCAGTCGTGGCAACGTTCTGTCCGCTAAACTGCTCCGTGGGTCCAACACAGTGCTCCGATCGCTCGAGATCCTCCGAAACTCGCTGTACGAACACGGAGCTAAGGGCATTCGAGGCTTGGGACGCAAATTCCGCATCATTGACGACGATGGCAACCGCTCATTGAGTCTGGACGAGTTCAGTAAGGCCGTTCGTGAACATGTTCTTGAACTGAGTGAGAAAGAAGTGGAGGAGCTGTTCCGCTTCATCGATACTAACAACTCTGGAGGCGTGGACTTTGATGAGTTCCTATTGGCTGTGCGTGGTGAACTCAACGAGCGTCGTACACAGCTCGTTCTTGCAGCTTTCAAGATCTTAGATGCAGACGGAAGCGGCGTCGTGGACCTGGACGACATTAAGATGAAGTACAGCGCTAAGCAGCACCCAGATGTGCTGCAAGGTCGTAAGACGGAGGACAAAGTGCTGCTGGAGTTCCTGGACACATTCGACGGTGGAGAGAAGGACGGGAAGGTCCATCCGAGCGAGTTCGTGCGCTATTACGCCAATGTGAGCGCGTCTATTGATGACGACGACTACTTCGAATTGGTGATCCGTAATGCCTGGCACATCAGCGGCGGCGAAGGTTGGTCTGCCAATACCACGTGTCGCCGTGTACTTGTGAAGCATGCGGACGGAAGACACACGATTGAGGAAGTGAAGGACGACATTGGTATCGCTCCTGGAAACGTGGAGGCCATTCGCGCTAATCTCCAGGCACAGGGTATCAATGATATTCAATCGGTCAGCATTACAGGCAACGTTCAAGCCGAGAGCGACGCCAACAAGCGCTCGAACGAGAGCTTCCACCCGCAAATGGCACGGAAGAAACAACACGGTGCTGGTCAAAGCTCCATCATCTTCGGATAAACTCACACCGAGGGTGTTAACCAAAATGTCAATGACGACACCAAGAAAGAATAAATGCGTTTAGTCGTTGCTCAAACTTTGCTAGTACTACGACAGCTAAAATTTATTGCATTCTTGAACGTGAAAAAACTACAACGCTTCGACATGTTCTACATGTTCTACTACAGTAGTACTACTTGTAATTGTAGCAGTACTACAGTCTTTATTGTGGGGATATATGTGCCTCAACTTGCTGTACTTTGTCCTCATTCCGGATCAGAGTATATCAAAGTATTTGAATTGGCGATCATCGGCGGCACATATCCCCCATAATAAACACAAGAACAAGCAAACACAAAGCATACAACTGACGAACCTGTCGCCGATCCAACGCAGTTTTTCCCTCGCTACCTGTAATACAACACCAGCACGCACCGAACGCAATAATCACTCGAAGTCTTCGCTCTGCAAAATTGCCCCCAGAGTCGTATTGGCACCAACCAATCGAGTCAGCAGCTCAAACCGCCTCCTCGCCAGTCGATCGTTATCCAGTAGATCGCTGAGACTTTATCTGCATTATCCTGATGCCATCCAGTCGTTAGAAAACTCTTAGTTGTCCGGGATGTCCAGCTCGCCCTCGGTGATGAGACGCTGGATCTCCGTGGGGGCCTCGCCGTTGACCGTGCAGCCAAGCGAAGCGGCCGTGCCCAGGATCTCCTTGACCGTGCCGGCCAGGGTGCGGGCCATCGAGCGCTCACGCATGATGCGGGCCACCGAGATGACCTGGTCAAGCGACAGGTTGCCGTCGTGCTTGATGTTCTTAACCTTCTTGCGGTCACGAGGGGGCTCCTTGAGCTCCTTGACCAGCAGCGACGAAGCGCTGGGGATCAGCGTGACCGTGGCCTGACGGTTGACGATGGTGAGCTTCACCGTCACGTTCAGTCCCTTCCAGTCCTTGGTGGCCTTGCAAATGTCCTCACCGATCTTCTTGGGGGACAGACCGAGGGGACCGACCTTGGGGGCCAGAGCCGAAGCGGGGGCAACCTCGCCGCCCACCGTACGCAGAACGACGACCTTCTCTTCGCCAGCCGGAGGTGGAGCGCCCATGTTGTTTATAGAGGATGCGAGTAAAAAGGGGTAGAAGCTTCGGGGATTGAGAGCGAACTCGAATGGCAGCACAACGACGATGGCGGCGGCAATCGTAGCTCCTCGACCAACCAACGCTAAGACGTTGTGGTAAGTACGAAAACCTGCGAGGGGCACTGAAAAACCTCGAGGTTATTTGGGACGGAAAGACACGTCAAATCAACGACGAAATGTTACGCCCTCTGAATCCATTCTTGAGGAATGGGCGGAAGAATTTCTTCAGCTGTAGCTTTTAAATTGATTCCTTTGAGGTTGTTAGCTGGATCGGTCAGCGACAGCGCAACTTCACTGCCTCTGTACCTGCATTTCTTACTTGGATCCCTTGAATCCACCGAGTTGAATCAACGACACAACGCCGTCCGCGAACTCCGCGCCCCAGCCTCCTTTCACTTTGACCGATGCCACACGAGGTTCCCCAGCAAACACAGCGCGAACAACGGGACGGACGTTCTTGACACTGATGTCGATGAAGCTCTGCGTCAGTGCCGCACTGAGGGCTGGGAATTGCGGATCTTGCGTGTTTAGAAAGCCAAAGCAGATGACGCCATCAAAGCCGCCGAACTCCGTCAACTTATTGGCCGCGTACGGCAGCTGCTCCAGCGACGCGACTGTGAAGGTCTCGGAGCTCACGGACTGAGTCTCAAGCTTCTCGAAGCAATTCTGCACCACGCGGTCCACGAGCTCGGCGTCGCTGCTAGTTTTAAGCAGTGCAACGCGCACAGCTCCCTCTGGAACTCGAGTAGAAGTTTGGACTGGCACTGCATCTGCTAGAGGGGCAGGAGCTGCGCGGGGGGATTCCATCTTGGTGTCCTGCTGGGCCTGAGCTTGCGGCTGGTTGAAGCGCTTGCGGCCCGTGGGAGCAGGAACTGGATCGCCGCCGAAGCTCCAGCTGGATCCACCGCCAGGGGGAGCGTGCACACGCGTGGTGGGGCGCTTGAGCTCCCCCATGTCCGTGCTGGTCAACGTCGACATTCTGCTTGCGGGTCAGCGTTCGCAAAATGGGTTTTGGAATTTTTGGGTTTTGGGTATATAATGAACGACCCACCCACCCACTCTTTTTTTAGGCTGGGTTTTCTGGGTTTATAAAAATAAAGAAAGAACGATAGAGCTGACGCAATACACAAGTACCATGACTGGCTTTACCTGCACTCGATGCGGCCGCGTCTTATCTTCAGTGCGCCGGCACCTTAAGCGGGTCATTTGCTACAATACCCGCTTTCGGCTAACCAGCTGAAACGAGCTACCCCAACCGCCACCAGTTGTCATTAGAGCACATTTCTCCCTTGGCCCGCCCCAAAACTCGGTTATATGCATCTATATTTTCTTTAACCGCCCTAAAGCATCTGTAACCGCTCCATATTTCTCTAAAGTGACACAGTTTTTTTATAATTGTATAAATGACGTCATCCAACAGATAATACCCAGTTTTTTTATCCCACCCACCCACAAAAAAATCATTACCCACCCACTCAAATCCGAAAAGCTGGGTTTTGGCGAACCCTGTTGCGGGTCTTGCCTGGCGAGATTACTGCTAAGGGAAAATGCCAATTAAGGGCCGTTCAAAGCAACCTTCTCTTTATCTTTTGATCTAGTAAAAAGTAAAATATGGCCTTGGCATCAATCAAAAGCTGACACAATTGTATATTTCCCTGGTTATTGAATTGTTTTACATCAGCTATGGTGCGTTCAGTAGGACAAATTAAAACAGTGCATAAAATGTGACGGCCATGCCAATTAAGGGCCGCTTGATTTCACGATGGGTTGCTAAATAATCTCTTATATGATACCTTAGTAGTGGCCAATGAAAATAGATAAGCCTGAAATTCCGAATTGCCTATTGGCTAACCGAATACGGCCCTTAACTGGTCACCGGCCCCTAATTGGCATTTTACCTTACAAAATTGGCGGGACGCGAAAAGATCAGAACGCGTCTACTGGTATTGGTGGATAATAAGAATTGTTTTCGACCAATCGCGATCGATTTTGGACGTGATTCCTAAGAGCGATCACGTCATGATGTGGTACCGGTAGTCCAGTTTGACTCAAACCTTGAGTGCATGCCACCAGGATAGCTACAGACTCAGTGTAGCATTGCTTAATATGCTTCAGAGCAACTAGCATTATTTCTTCTTCCAGTTTGCTGAAGCTCTGCCTGACTACCGTCTTTCCAGAGATATCATTGCAGCTGTGTCGATTTCATCGTGTGCTTCTCCATCTTGTGACTGCCTATCCGATGAGAGTGTCCGGTGGTATCTCAACTGGCCAGCATGTTGGACCAAATTGTTAGCCTGTTAGACGGTGCCGCGTGCATCTTCGATGGATGGCTCACTACAAGAAGCGTGATCTGCAAAACTTGAATTCCGGCTCGCGCTGCAGTTACAGTGGACATGGAGAAGAGTGAAGGGCGAATGCACCACCAGCATCCAAGTCTGATGCTGTTTTTATTACCGTAATCCAACGTGAGACATCTTACACTTTACTCCACCATCTGCAAATCGCACCACCGACCACACGCCAGAAACGTGCCACACAAAAAAAGTCGCCAACTCGTCGTGCTAATAATCGGTGGCAGCAGGCAACACGTCACTTTCACACTCCCAAACTCAAGCAGACAGCGCCGATCACTTTGCCTCCTGCATCGAGTACCCCGTCCGTCCAAGCCGCATGGAAGCCACCCTGTCCGTCACTAATCCCGAGCATCTCGAGACGCTCGAAATCTCCGTCGACAGCGACCCAGAACTAATGAAACAGCGAGTGGGCAAAACCACCTCAGACATCTCAATGCAGAACCAGAAGCAGATAAACGAGGACGCCAATGACGAGGAGATTACTAAAATACCGCTGGGATCGTCCTCCACCACCCGCAGACTCGCCTACGCAGTGGCATTGAGCATGATCTTGATCACATTCTACAGCTTCCCCATGCACCACCATTTCCACGGCCGCGGTGGTAAAAACGCGCGCTACGTATGGTGGTGTGGCTGGCTTACAGCTATCGCCACGGGCCTCGGTGCGTTGCCGTTCTACTGGATCCGAGACATGGATAAATTCTGGTTGGGCATTTGCAATGGCTTGGCTGCAGGCATGATGATCGCAGCTACCGGTTGCTTGTTCTACGAAGGCTGGTACCTGCCACAAGCTACGGACTACGCAGTGTCTGTGAGCTACCGTCTGTTCTTAGGTGCTTTCCTCGGCGTGTTATTCATCAAGTTCACGAAGGTTTACCTGGAAGACTACGAGGACGTATCGGTGTGCGGACTTAAAGGTCTGGATGCACGCAAGGCTCTTCTGATCATGGCAGTGATGACGCTGCACTCCGTGTCCGAAGGTATCGGTGTCGGTGTGTCGTTCGGCGGTGAAGGTGGCATCCGTCGTGGACACATTGTCACTATGACGATGGCTATCCACAATATCCCTGAAGGTGTGGCCATCAGTCTGTCGCTTGTGCCTCGCGGGCTAAGCGTTTTCTATGCTGTATTATGGTGTATCATTTCAAGCGCCCCACAGCCGATTTTCGCTGTACCAGCCTTCCTGTTCGTGGAGCAATGGCTTCCTATCCTCCCATGCGGTTTGGGTTTCGCTGGTGGTGCGATGGCATATGTGGCAGTGCAAGAACTGCTCCCAGAGTCGCTGGAGGACACGAAATCTGTACCTACGACGGTGGCGGCCACAGCGTTCGCGTTTATCGTCTTCCTCACGATCCAGATCGCGCTTAGTGGCTCCATCTAAGCGTGCAACCTAGTTAGAACCTATTTTCCATGATCGTGTACAGAAAAAAGATTTAGGTACTCAACTGAAGGTCGAGTCGACCTTTTATTTAGAGCATTCAGTATCCATTCAGAATCAGATCCGATCAGAAACCATCCGATCTTAAAAGGACGTTTGCGACCATCTGCCGGAAGCCAGTGGCGACATTTGTCGAAAGAAAACTCAGCGACAGTCGAAACCAAGGAGAAGAAACTACAACTACAGTACTCCCGTATTAAGCATGAAGCTGTCGACGTTGATTCTAGCGCTCGTGTGCCTCTCACAGCTTGGCGGCAGCTCGGCGAACGAAGCCACCGACATCATGCGGCGTCAACTGCGCGTGGGGAAGGCCGTGGCCTCGCTCTTCGAGAACCAGCATCAGTCGACGCGTGAATTGGAAGAAAAAATCATGCAGGACGAAGACAACAAGCCCAACGAGGTGCAAGCCGACACTACCAAGTTCCGTGTGCGCCGTTTGCGCTCGCCTAACTACGTGGAGCTGATCGAGTGAAGAGGCTCATTGAAAGAAGCTAGAGCGATCCGATCGCCAACATAGTGTTGTTCACGTGACTTAACTGAAATAAAAAAAAAATATTGCAGTTGGGTCTGCATTTTTAACAAGGGAAGTCTTTTCTTCGGTCAGCGTGGGCTTCAGTTTGAAGTTGCGATGACGTCAGCGTCGGCCCAAGACGAAACCAATAAAGATATGCGCGACGGACGGCTCAGCAACTTCAGCAGAACACGCTTCACCCAGCTCATTCTTGATTCGGGCAGCGAGCTCCCACTGATAATTGGCCAAACAAGATCCTCGACCTCTAATGAAGATCTATACGACGACGGCGTTTGCTGCGATGGTGATGTTCCTACTAGCAACTCCATCGATCGCACCCCCTCCACCGGAGGAGACCGATCCCAACGCAGCACCGCATACCCCTGCAACGCCTGCGCCCACCCTCCGGTTTGCCACCCCTGCACCTACCGCACGGAAATTCGGGTTTCCCACCCCTGTACCCCCTCGCCGCCGCATACTCGAAGGGGACCTGACGGCGCAGCAAGAAACCGTCCAAAGCGATACGAGGATCTTGGCCAATGATGGCATTGAAGAGACGGCGCGTGGTGGTTGGTTGGACTGAGCTACTCGGGAGAGAAAAATGAATATCAAACGACCGAGGATGATGGTGCAGCCGACAGCCCATGCAACGAAAGACTACACAATCTGACCGGAAGCTTGCGCATGGCACCAGACGCCGACCATGAAAGCTCCAAAGTACCCCAGCATTAAGTCGTTATGAATAAATGATTTTCCCGTACGGCACTTGCAGTCAGTGATAAATTCACTGTTTTCATGCCACGCTTCAGTAAAATGGAGTCACAAGGTTTGAAAACACGTACAGACCCTCTAAACGAAAATATGGGGTCCGCATTACCAGTAGGTTTCACTCTCGTGCTTTCTGCAGCACTCTATACGCTCCAACGCGACGATTAAGGCCAGTACTGATGGCCTTTTACCCACCCGCTTAGTCGGCATTGCTGGATTCGCCACCTTTTCTAACTGCATTTCCAAACGAGTACCCGAGCTGCAAAGATGAAAGTGATCCTGCTTGTGACCGTACTTAGTGCCATGTCGATTGCATTTGCTAGCGCCGAGCTGCGTCAACTGCGTCATGAAAGCGCTCTCACAAGCACGAAGAGCGACTATCGCCAACGACAAGAAGAAAATATTAGCATTGGACAACTCCCCTCTGCATCGAACAAAGCCACGCCTCTTCCAGGTTTGATCGGCTCAACCCTCCAGGACCCAGTACCGTACCCAGTGCAGGAGACCCAACGGCGTCGCCGATTCTCGCGGCTGTGAGCAGCGAAAATGCACTGAAACAGAGCTGCTAGCTACTGTAATCTCCGAATAAGAAAACTTGTGTGCGTTTGCCTAATCTCCTCCTCCATTGTATCGATTACTGTGTCGGGAAGCTCATGCGTCGGTCAGCATGAAAACGAGAACGAAGCTTTGTATTATAATTAGCATGAACTTCGAGAAAATAACGATAACATTGCTTAATTCTGAGTGCTTTTGAGGGCGGGCGGTCAGGGGATCGAATTAATGTACACTAGCCGAGCGCCTCCGCTACGCGGCGGTAGTTTAGGTGTATGCTTTGCTCCACTACGCTTCGGCGGGATAGCTATTGAAAAAAAAAACGCAGAGCTCATGTGTACCTAAATCGATTTTTTTAATTTTTAAATTTGGGTCATGCTTACCTGATTTAAGGAATTTTTTTTAGTGATCTTGAATCAAGATTCTTGATGCAATCTCTTTTTTTATTGTTGGCTATCACTGTATCTTCATCTTTCACCCAAAAGCACCAGCACTTCAAATAACATTAATACAAACGCTACACAATATGTTTAGTTTTGCGTCGTGCTCGATATCAAGGGCCATTTCTGAGCCGCTAGGAAACTTAGCTCACATCAGCGCAAACGATAGTAATGGCCTGTCCAGCTTGCACTATCTACCTGCGTGTACTGTCGGAGATACCCCGGTTTTGACGCTCGCTATCAATGGCCAATAATAGTAAGTGATAAAAGTTTGAAGCTGTATCTATATATAATACATGTAGGATCAATGGGAGCGTGCAAGAGAGGAGTTGGGCAGACCTCACTTCCCAATCTACCGTCTCCTCATCCCGCATCAGCACCCAGATCCCGGAGGCTCCTTTGGCCCCGCCATTTAGTGTTAGACTTTTCTCAGTTCACTGCAATGACGAAACGACAGGTTATGAGCCCAAACAGGGCCCTACCACGCCTCCGTGGCTCAACGGGACGGATGGGTGCAAATACCAACGTTGACCAAGGAGTGGTCAACTCAGACGCCGACGTGGAGAGCAACAGTGCAAGTAACCCTTCATCGTCGACGTCGCAGCAATCTAACAGCTCAAGTGAGAGTGCGGATGACTCCGAAGGCTTCGACGACTCCGACGATTCAGCTTTCTCATCGAGCAGTGGCACGTCCAACTCATCTTCTGAACACAAGAAGAAGGTGAGCCGCTCAGTCGACAAAAAAGAAGAAGCCTTCCAAGAAGAAGCGACGCGATGAGCGCCACACCTCAAGTTTAGATGTTCCAAAACTTACGAGTGTGGATGATTACGAACTCTGAAGAACAATGATTAAGCTCAAACTTAAGGTCCAGAAACTATGGCCAACCGTGACCGAGAAAGTAGTCTTTAAGGACTCTTGGAATTCAAGCCGTAAGCGTCGCTGGGAAAGCAGTGGCTTAAAGCCCAAGTATCAATTGCTGGATCTCTTGGACCTCGCCTTGCTGGCCGTTACAGGCGACTTCTGGTTAATTGCAACCCGGTGGTACTATTTCAAGAGATCGAGAAGGAGTACAATGCCGGCAGCGCCGCAAAGAATGACATACTGATCAAGAGTGAGATGTTCTCGCGCAAGTTGGTTCAGGGGGAGCGGGTTGACACGTACATCGACGCAGTCATGAGGTTGCAGGAGGATCTCGTCACCCTAGGGTTCCCGCTGGAGGATTCGGAACTGGCGCGACTACTGCTTACCAATGCTCTGGAAGTGTTCCCCGACTTAAGCAATGAATTAGTAGCTGCTCATCTGAAGCGATCAGCTCTTGAGGTTGGTCGCGTTCGTGGCCGCTTACTTGCCAGAGAACAGGAAGAAAATATGCGTGGCCCCAAAGGGTCGCGCAATACAGCTGCAGCAAATATCACCCCCACTCTGCAGCAAAACAATCCGGTACTTCAGTCAGAATGATGGTGGACAACGCGGTAGGAGACAAGAAGCAAGACAATATTCTTCGCGTCGTAATCAAGGCCAGTCCCTGCATAATACAATGCAGCGTCGTTCGTGCTCCAATTGTCACCAGTTCGGGCACTGGTACCGGGAATGCCCACGAGGTCATCAGCAAGTGAACAAGCGCAGCCGTGGCAAAGGTCGCCTGAGTAATGGCCGTCATGGCTATAGGCCGCCTACTGGTCAAGGATAAGGCCGAAAGGCTGATAGTGGAGGTCCGATGGCGCTAATGGCATCGATGGAGACGTCGCAAACACTACAGGCAAGAACAGTATTGCAGGATACACTGAGTGGTGCTTGGATAGTGGGGCCCAGGTTAATATCTGCAACGATCTATCGTGTTTCCGCAAGGTGAAGACGATCAGCAACGGTCGAATGATGCGATGTGCGAACGGGAGCTCCGTCAACGTTGATCAAGTTAGAGATGTCACACTTACAACTACCAATGCTAATACGAGGCGCCTAGAAGAGCGTATCCTCTCAGAGGTCTACTATGTTCCGGGCGCAATTGCAAATTTGATATCTTTAGATCACATGCAGACGAAACTCGGGTATTTTCTCTCCATGTCGCGCGACCAGTCTAACTGCTACTTGAAGAAACTTGGAGTTGCAATTTCGTTCAAGAAGGAAAATGGTATGTACACGCTGCGGTCGAAGCGGGCTGATCACTCACAGAAAGAAGTCATCTGCAACGCAATGACTCGTCCGGACGGTACTTCATCCCTCAGTCTATGGCACAAGCGATTCGTACACGCCAGTGAGAGCACACTAGAGGACATGGTGAGGAAGCAAGCTGTGAGGGGATTGCGAATAAGTACGATCAACAAAACTAAGCCGACTTGCTTGCCCTGTATTAAGGGTAAATCAGTACGTATGTCTTACAAGCCGCGGACAAGCAGGGCAGGAACTCCGCTTCAACGGTTGCAGGTCGATATTTGTACTGTCAACGAGTCTACAATTGACGGATGTTCCTCCTTTCTGCTAGTGGTGGACGAGTACAGTCGATACAAATGGATATTCCTTCTGAGACAAAAGAGTGAGGCGAAACAGCACATTGAAGCGCTCGTCAACAGGCTGCACGTCAGGTACCGCGAAAATGGCTGGAGGATTGAAGAAGTTCACTCAGACCAAGGGGGAGAATTTGACAACAACATTCTTCGTGAGTTTTGCGGTGGTCAAGGCATTGCACTAACAACGACTAATGCCTATACCCTCAAGAAAATGGGATGGTCGAGCGAGCAAATGGAATCGTCTTACCTAAGGTGAGAGCGATGCTGCACATGACGAACCTTCCTGATGGATTGTGGGGCGAGGCCGCGATGCATGTAGTGCACACACTTAACGTAGCGGCTTTTCGGGTGCTACAAGGGAGAGCACCTCATGAGAAGTTGTCTGGGCAGCAACCCGACGTGTCATGGCTGCGAACGTGGGGTAGTTTAAGCTACTTTCATGTTGCCAGTGGATCGCGCACAAGGAAAGAAAAGCTTGCATCGAGAATGGGCCATGGGCTACTACCCGTCTTACCCCGCATATAAGGCATATGTGCTGTAAATGAATACAACACTGCTTGTGTGTTATATTCGTTTAGAAAGCCTATGTGTTATACAACGAACAAATTGTTTGACTTTGAAGAATGGGTCCTGGAATCTGGCTTGGTCGTTGAGGCTTGACCCTCCTACGCGATCGGGTAGGGTTCAAACCCTCCTGCGTGCAGCTCACATGATGTTGTGATTGGTAACGGGTCTTTTCTTTCTGTTGTGGCTGCGTTGTATACGGAGGTTTGCTTGTTAATATAATGAATTCTATTTTTTCCTTATTATAAGAATCGTTTGCACAAATGCATTACATGTAATCACGTGTATTATAATATACTTAAGTATTCTACTTTCACTGCGAAATATGATCCGGAGCGAACCAAGCACAGCGTTTTCAAAGGATTTTAACGGTGTACGAGAATTTGGACACCAGCTTATTGTCCTTGTCAACACTACTTACCTAGCTACGTCGCTCAGCACTCATGTCTGTGTAAATTATAAATAAGATAATTAAAGCCAAGTAACAGCAGCACCGACAAGTTTGTTGAGAAGGGTGGTTGGTTAGAGCTCTCAAGAATATTCATTGGTTGGTACAGCCTTGTGTTTTAAGTAGGTTTCAGCCACATGTGCTCTAATTAGGTAGGTGGTCAAATTGAGGTTTAAGCTGGATGTCGAGCGAATCCCGTATTTTATTTAGAACACATATGCCTTATATGCGGGGTAAGACGGTAGTATGTAGATTACTCGCCGAATACGAATGGGTACAAGGTCCTGAACCTATTGACTGGAGCCATCTCGACACACCGTGGCGGCAACCTGGTATGGGATGAAGACTTAACAGTTGATAGAGAGTACATCGACAAGCTACTTCTCAATGCATACAGCAACGGTGATCACGATCTTCCACCACGAGCCCAACTAGTACCGATGCAAATGCAAATTGACGACGTTGTTCGACTGGATTCAGTGAAGGAAAGCGTTTTTGTATCTGGTGCTGCTCGGGCGTCTTGTGGATCAACATCTTCTGAGTTACAAGGCGATACAAGTGTGACTGTTAATGTGAATAGCCCTACTTCAACCAGGCTGGCGCAAGCTCCGCCAGCTACACGGCAAAATGAATCCACCAGCCAAGTACCTGCAGAAAGTGACATAGTCGGACGTCATCAAGTGTCTCGATTTGGCCGAAAACGTAAGCGGAACGGGCGACTTAATGACTTTGATATGACCCACATCGTGACCGGCCGGTCTGCTAGTATACATGCACTGCAGGGCGTCACTACGATACCAAGAATTCCCCGTCTGCATTCTAGAGACGTGCCAATACCGACAACCTACAAAATGGCCATCCGGTCACGTCTTGCAAGGTATTGGGAAGAAGCGATGATGGAAGAGCTTGAGTCACTACATCGGCATGGAGTGTGGGTCGTCGTTGATCGCAATTCTGCCCGGAAGTCAGCTATTATCACAAACAAGTGGATTTTTGCCGTCAAAAAGGATGAAAATGGCTTCGTC